AAGTGAGTTATATATTTTCATGTTTTCCTCTCATTAATTTAGCATTGTTTAGTTTCAGCTTTAAAAACTCTCTTTATCACATCTTGTAAGGTTGGTGTAGCTTTTGTTTGGGAAATTCGTTCTCTTTCCTTCAATTCTGAAAGACAACTTTGCCAGGTAGCTTTTTTAGTTCAGGCACTTTGAATATATCATGTCACTCCCTTCTGACCTGAAAAGCTTCTGCTGAAAAATCTAATAGTCTTATGAGAGTTCCCTTGTACATAACAAGCTGTTTTCTCTTGCTGCTTTTAAGATTCCCTTCTTGTCTATAGCATTTGACAATTTAATAATAATGTTGTCTCAGTGTGGATCTCTTTGGATTATCTATATTTGGATATCTGGACTTCCTGGGTCTGGATGTCTCTTTCTTACCCCAGGTTAGGGAAGTTTTCAGTTATTATTTCTTTAAATATGCTTTTTGCCCCTTTCTCTCACCTCCTTCTGGAACCCCTATAATGCATATCATGATCTGCTTATGTTTCATATGTCCCTTAAGCTATCCTCTTTTTCTTTCTTTTTCCTTTTTACTCCTTTGATTGGATAAATTCTAGTGCCCTGTGAGGTTTGCTGATCCTTTCTTCTACTTGATTTAGTCTGCTGTTAAACTCCAATGATTTTTTTTTTCAGTTCAGTTACTGTATTCTTCAGCTATACGTTTTCTATTTTGTACTTTTTACTATTTTCTTTGTTGACATTCTCACTTTGTTCATGCATTGTTCTCCTGGTCTTAATAAACATCTTTACAATTGTTATTTTGAATATTCTATCTGGTAAATAACTTACGTTCATTTCATTAAGATCTGTTTCAGGAGATTTTTCTTGTGGTTCTGTTTTTGTTTTGTTTTGATTTTGGACCACATTCCTGTTTCTTCATTTTCTTTGATTCTCTTTGGTGATCTCTAAACATGAGATAAAACAGCCACCTCTCCTAGTCTTGATAGACTATTCTTATTATAAAAGTGAATCACTTAGATCAATCCAGCCAAGTTTCTAGTTGTCTCTCAAGCCTCTGAGAGTGTCCAAGCCACTTTCCTTGTTTCTATAGTGGCTTCAGGAGTTGAGGGTGTGCCAGAACCTGTCAGTGTCCCAAAAATGAGAATGGCAGTCAGCATGTAGATGCAGGCTGATTATAAACTGGACCCTCAGGTAGCAGCTGGGCAATTATGTAGTTAAACCCCTTCTAGGGAAACACTGGGAGATGGGTGTTTTTGCCTGCTTCCTCTCTGCTGGGCCCAGATATAGCTGTGGGGAGAAGGGAATACTCCTGCACCTGTTAAGAACTGCTTCATTTGATACAGTACTGAGGGGCTGAGGAATACAAGCCCCATTGGCTCTCAGAGCCAGGTAATCTGGGCGCCATCTCTTGGGCAGCAGCCACAAAAGCTGGAGTGCCAGCCATTTGCAAAAATTCCTTCCAGGGAAACACTAGTAACTTGGTTTTGTTGTTGGAGTGGGCTGAAGAGAGAGGGCAGGAAAGGTGTTTGCTGTTTCCGTCTCTGGGGAGGATTGCAGCCAGTCACTAGATGTGTGCTGAGGTTAGAAACCTCACCCTCAGGTAGAGTATGCGGGAGGTTTTGCCTCTTTCCTCTGCTCTAATCACTGTATGGGGGTGGGAGGTGAGTGCTCAATGCATTTGTGAATAACTGGGTTTTGTTTTGCTATATTCTTAAAGGTCTCATAGACACAATCCCCATTGGCTTTCAGAAATACCCATTTCTGAATGAGAGTCTTGGAAGTTGGGAAAAGTATCACAAATGTTGGCAAAATCCAGATGCTAGATTTGAGGTCCAAACCTTTTGCTCCTTAGGGAAAAGCCAGTAGTTGGGAGTCTGCTCCTGATTGTACAGCCCTGTGGCAGGGTGTTCTGTCAAGTGTCTCAGCCTTTGCTAGGCATTTTGATGTGGGTGGGTGTTCTGTCATTTGTCCAATGTGTAGGAGCTGTTCGGCTAGTTTCTGGATCACTTTCATTAGGAATTGCTCTGTGTGCAGTTATACATTTGATGTGTCTGTAGGAGGAGGGGAGCTCAGAAGCCTATGTCACCATCTTGGTCACCTCTGCAATTTCCAATTATTTTAGCTATTTCTTTTGTCAATTAAACCCATATTTCTAGACTGACCATTTCTCAGAATGATCAAATACTCAAGTCATCTATATGTTTCATGTACTTTTTTTATGGCAACATCTCCTGGAATTCCTCAACATCATCTTTTGGCTCTCTCCTATGTTGAATAACCTAACTTGTACATCTCCTGCCTCCCTTCTTTGTTTACGCCCTCACATTGTGGCACTTCTTCAGAAATACATCTTGGAAAAAAGCTTAAGGAAGATAATATTTTTTAGTCTTTGCATGTCTGAAAATATCCTTGTTTTACTCTAATAATACCATTTAGCTAGACATAGAGTTTAGGATACAATGAAGATTTTTGAAGACATTGTTCCATTGTTTTCTAACTTCCAGTGCTGCTAGGAAGTCAAATGTTATTCTGATTCTGGGTGCTTTGAAAGGACCTATTTTCTTCTCAGAAACTTAAAATCATTTCTTTACCCCCGTACTCTGAAATTCTGGAACATTTGCGCTTTGGAGGTTTTTTTTTTTTCTTTTTTCTGGGTGTACATTGGGCCTTTGTAATCTGCAAACCCATGTCTTTCAGTTCTGAGAAATTACATAATTTCCAGGATAATTTCCTACCCTCCTTTTCCCCTATCTCTTCTAGAACCCACTACTTAGGTATTGTATTCCCTGAAATAATCCTATTTTCTTATTTTCTCTCTTTTCATTTCTTTTTGTTCATGTATTTGTAAAACTTCCTTACCTTGATCTTCCAAATCTTCAAAGTATTATTTAAATAGCTTTATTGTGCTTTATAACTTTTTAATATAGCATGGAATGCTGTGTATAATCAATATTGACCTACAATGTCATAGATCTTGGGATATAATGTTCTTCTTGGGGGAAAAACTTTGCCACTTCAGTATTTTCTCTTTATATAGGGTTTAATCTGCCAAAAATATGTACCTTTTAGTCCCCATGCTATTAAATTTACTTTAAGATGATTTCTTCAAAACTTGTCAAGTACCACAAAATGTTGGCAAAAAAACAAAGTTTCTTAGGAGTATTTGTGGCCACGCTACAAATAGAGCTGAAGTATAAATAACTGCAAGATAAAAAGACAAGGAGATGGTTCCAGCAATCAGAGTTAGCCAGAGCACAGGGCTGTTGGCAGTGGCCTGGAATGTGGGATGCATTGCCCACTTGAATCAAAGTCCAGATGCCTGTGGTTTCTTTTTTCCATTATCAGTTCATCATACTGGTTTGTTTTTGTTTTAAGGTCATCAGGCTTCTGAGCAAGAATCTCATCTCTAGAAAATATTCCATGCCAAAACTCCCTATGTATGTGCAATTTATTTAAATGAGTGACATGTGGTTTCATATCGGCATTCTCTTATTGCAAATGATAAATGGCATCTTATATCAGTTGATTAGGTTACAAAATGCTTTGATGTGCAGTCTCAGTAAAAACCCAGTACATTTTTCTTTTACATATTATTATTTATTTCTGAAAGGAAGGGACAGGGAGAGAAACATCAATAACGAGAGAGAATCATTGATCGCCCTCTACTGGAGATCGAGCCCGCAACACGGCAAATTTTAATCTTCATTTCACAAAGGTTGTAAAAGCAGACAGCACAATGGTTAAGAGCCTATACAAATTTGAGACTCACCATACTATCAGCTGACTCAAATTGATTTTGTATCCAAAATACTTTCTGCATCCAAAACTCCTAGTTTTAGGCAAAAGCTAGCTTTACTATTTGAATTTCTTAAAAGGATGTGCTCTGCTTAAGTATTCTATGAATTACATTTCTCAGTTATTGCATAGCAATTTAATGCATACTTCTTAAGGATATAATCAAACATATAACTCCAAAAAGATCTGGGTTTATTTGGGTGTTTTTTTTATCCTCATGAGAGGATTTATTTACTGATGTAGAGAGAGGCAAAGAGAGGGAAAGAAAAAGATCCTTCTGTTGCCTCCCATATGCACCCTGGCCAGAGATTGAACCTGCAATCTGTTTTGGTGTATGCTCTGATGTTCCAACGGAGCCATCCACCAGACAGTTGTTTTGGTTTTTAACACAAAAGCTAAGAGCCTAGCCCATGTGAATCTGATTTGCAGAGACGAGAGAAGTCTGCCTTTGTGCCTATGCTCTTCAAGAGGTGACACTTCCGTGTCCCTATTCTGGAGACGATGTGGCTTCCTGTGGTCCACAGAAGACCTGAGTTCCAGGGAACACAACCAGGAAGTCCTTTAAAGACGTTTTTTCATGTGCATTTGTTTCCATAGCTTAGTCTAATAGTTTCCAAATGTCAATGGAAGGAGGATTCAGCTCAGGAACTTGTTATAAATTCTTACCTGGACCCCCTCAAAAGTTGGATTTGATAGGATGGAGCAACAAATCTGCATTTAAAACAAACTTTCCCCACAGCTCCTGCTATGCGATTCCAACACAGGTAGCACAAACCCCACAAAGAGAAGCACTGCCTAAGTCTAAGGCTTTGAGGGTTGGGCTAAAAGGAATAAAAAGGGCTCTCCCTATTTCTTTCCCCCAAGAAGTAGTTGAAACATCTAGCGAAATAAGAGGGTCCTTGTTGCTGGAATTGGCCTGGGTCCACCACATACCTCTTTCCTATATATCCATTACCAACTTGCCCAGTTATTTCTACTAACTTGGACTTCTTTAAACAGACAACTATTTTATTAACTTAACCCTGTTCTTATACAAAGCATTACACAAGCTGTTTAGAAAGTTAAGATTCAATATTTTGTTTTCCTTTCCTTGTGCTTCTAGAACATATGTCCATTCAAAACAGATTCAGGAAGGATGTTAGTATACAAGGGAATGTTGTCTCCCCCTGAAGAATATATTACAATTTTATTTTCATTTCCCCCCTACACAGCTATGAATTCCAGGTGAAACCAAAAAACCCACTTGGAGAAGGCCCACCCAGCACCACAGTGGCATTCAGTACTGAATCAGGTAATCACATCAACAGCAGTTCCCAACAAGGATGTAAAGGGCTACAATGTTTTGCAATAGGGAACTTGTTTGAAACCCAGCCAAACATTATGTATAGTTTCTTGAATTTCCAAAAAATCATCTATGGGACAAAACCAATTGTGGAAGATGCCCATAAGGAAAGACCACTTATGTTTTTCCTCATATATTTTTATGTAAGAAAAAAATTAGGTATATCAGTTTAAAAGAAAAGTGTTTAATCTATTCTCAAAAATCTAGTGAACTAATGGTCTTCTGTATGCCAGCAACAATGCCTAGAATCAAAATATCAGACATGCTGAGCCATACATCTAGAAAGGAAACTCATTTGATACGTTTGTTTTCTGATAAGTAGCTGTGAAATTCTCTTTTGTGAGCTTCTAAGCTCCAATTCCCTAATGAGATAAATATATACTCACAGCATCATTTGTATAATTTTACACCAACTGCAGTTCATGGCACGTTGGTGATTTATCATCAGTAATTTTTGTCTGAAACTAAGAGGAAGCTTTTAAGACGAAAGTGAAAGCTAGAACAGCAATGAAGATGTCTAACTACTCAAATCACAAATAAAAGCTACAGCTGACTATCTGGCAGATTTCCAATTGAGACCATTTCCAAAACAACACCCACATACTTTCCAATTCCATTTTAGAAAGAGTAAACTATTTTGTGAGTAAAATTTCTTTACTGTAAGCACCCACCTTCTTCACTGTACCACTGGAACACTGAGACCTACTTACTTAATAACTTCTGACTCTGTTGCTGTTTCTCCTCAGCGGATCCGAGAGTGAGCGAGCCAGTTTCTGGTAAGTACCGGTCTTGATGTGAACGTAACTGCATGCTTTTCTAAACTGATTCAACTACACAGACATGGCAGAATGTAAGTCATGATATCAATCAGGTGTGAATGAGTATCCAGAACACTCAGTTTCATCAAGAGTCTGATGTTTTGGGAACAAGTTGGATATTTTGAAGCTTGCTTTCACTCATGTACCAAATTTTCTGTGTAATAACTGTCAAGATATAATACCCTCATTTACACTTTTAAAACAAGTCACATTAGAGCAGCTGTTTAAATTGTATATGCTACAACACAAAACCTGCATTCTCTCAGGATGCTGTCTACATCTAGCACTGCAAAGGCTATTCAACACCTAAAAATACACTTCTACAACTTTATCACTATTGACAGGAACTTAAGTGGGGCCTTATGTGTTTAACTCCTATAATATTTTTGGCTCCAATATTTAGCATTGGAGAAAACCAGCTGTCAGCAAGTTGACAGTGAACTTTGCAAACTGTTTTTTGTTTGTTTGTTTTTTAAAGCTTTTAGGACAGCTCGTCAACACCAAAATCAGATACTAAACTCAAATCTTATGTTTTCCTTATGCAGGAGGAAGAGATGCCATCTGGACAGAAAGACCCTTTGATTCAGACTCTTACTCAGAATGTAAAGGCAAACAGTATGTCAAAAGGACTTGGTATAAAAAGTTTGTAGGGGTGCAGCTATGCAACTCTCTTAGATACAAGATTTATCTGAGCGACTCCCTCACAGGTAAGCAAGACTACCTGCTGTTTTGAGTCTTGACTATCAGGGAATGCTTTGCAGCATTCTGTAAAACTTGGTCTTTTCTTTGGACAGAAACTAAGGTATGATGTAAATACAAATATTCTTTTTGAACAAGAAATAGCGTAGAAAACAAGGATTTAAGACATGCTACTAGAAGGTAAACAATGAAAATGCAATTTGAACAGTGCTATCATGGCAAACTTGAATGTAAAGACACTAGCCACATTCAAGCTCAATTTTGTTACAGCCAACCAAGGATAAAAACCTTACTGATAATAAAATGAGTGTATCTAACAGTACTCATGGGAGGAATATGACAATCAAAATTTTAAGTCTGTTAACAAGATCAAGATTACAACAACTGGCTGGAAAGGCTATGTAACCCCTTGCTCCAGACCCAGCAGCTTATTTTCACTTCTCTACTCCTACAATAAAAATTTTAAACAAATAAGGCTTAGAAAGGTAGACATTTGTTCAATTATTCAATAGTATCTGCTTTATTCAGACATTGTTCTAGGTGTTAAGGACAAAACAGCAAACAAGACACAAGCAAGCCTTCTTGTAGCTTACAATCTAGTTGTAGTGCTTTGAAAACAAACTTAAAGAGTGGAACAAAACGGCTGAATGGAAGCTCCTTTAATTAGAAGTGCTAGGAAAAGCCTCTCTGAAAAGATAACACTGTGCCAGGAAGAAAACTACGAGAAGGCACCAACCAAGCAAAGATCTAGGGGAAAGCAAAGATAGAGGAAAGAGAAACTCAAAGGCCTGTGGCACAACATGCACAGCCAGTTCCACTGGTGTGGCTGAAGCTTAGTAAGAGGAAGACAAGGCAGGCAGGTGTGAACTCATGTGACACTTTGGGTTTTCTTCTGAGTACAACAGGAGTTTGCTGGAGAGATTCATGGGAGTAACATTACCTGAGTAGCATTTTTAAAACATGTAGGATATGAGAGGAAGGGAGGAAGAACAGAGGCAAAATGAAAAACAGGAATGTCAGCTGGGAGACCATTTCATAGTTCAGTCAAAGGGCGCTGATGGCTTGAACTAGGGGAAAGTACAAGATCAGGAAAGAATGATTATTTGGAACAATGTGATTATTTCAGAACTAGAGGCCTGGTGCATCTGTGCACCAGTGGGGTCCCTCAGCCTGGCCTGTGCCCTCTTGCAATCCAGGACCCCTTGGGGGATGTCAGACTGCCGGTTTTGGCCCTATCCTCACAGGCCAGGCAGCCAGGGAGGAGACAGGGCTGGGTGCTGCACAACTCCCGCTCATCCTGGCCCCACTGCACCCACCACCACAGCTCGGTAGCGAGCTGCCGGGGAGACAGGAGAGGCTCATGCCACCGCAGCTGCACTTGCCAGCCATGAGCCTGGCATCTGGCACTCCGCTCCCACTGTGGGAGTGCACTGACAACCAGGGGGCAGCTCCTGCGTTGAGCATCTGCCCCCTGGTGGTCAGTGCATGTCATACCAGCCAATTGTCCAGTTGCTTGGGCTTTTTTATATATAGATATAGATATAGATATAGATATAGACATAGGTATAGACATAGATATAGATATATAGTCTCATATCAAAGAAAGTAACATTTTTTGATCCTTTTAATTTTGGTTCTTCAGGAAAATTTTATAACATAGGCGATCAGAGAGGCCATGGAGAAGATCACTGCCAATTTGTGGACTCATTTTTAGATGGACGCACAGGACAGCAACTGACTTCTGAGCAGTTACCCACAAAAGAAGGTATGTTTTCTGAGCCTCCTCAAAAGCAAGACGGTTTTATAAATTGACCCAAAAAGAATTCAAGCTGAGGAAAGCAATCACTTTAAAATAATTCTATGCTAGAACTGTTATAATTATCTAGCTAGAAAGAAAGAAATTTTAAAAGACCTTACTTTAAAGTATAAAGACTTTAATGAAAGTTTCTCAACTTTCCTCCCAGCCCCTAAGACTCTATTCCTTAGGGCCAAGGAAAGCTATACACAAACATATATAAATGCGTTCTACTTTAAGGAAACCTGAATAAAAGAGCAATGTTTCCTAAACTTAAATCATTCATATAGTACCTTTATGTTTTTTGTCAATACTGAGCACATAGGCATTTTTTTATTCCCTTAAAAAAATTTAAGACAGACTACCACAAATGGAAAAACAGTACTAGTATCTGCTTTCATTATATAAGTTCAGTAAAAATAGAACAATTATGTTAAAAAATGAATAACCAAGGTAATGCTGAAGATACTTTAGCACTAAGCTGCTTAGTGAGGATTAAAAAGATGAAAATTAATTTACTTGTTGTCCAAGCAAGGCAGGAGAGTGTAAATTAAATGTCCATATTACTTGGGAATCACCAAGAACTTTGTTAGATACTTTAAATCATTTGACTAGTCTTTTCAGCAACACATTTTGTTCACTGGCATCATAGAAAAGATGCCTTAATAGGATCTGTGAACCCATGAACCAGAAGTTGAAACTGGTATCTCATAGGAATTGGATATAAACATACTATAAATTGTGTATATTTCTATATTTTACATTCACAGAGAAATTTCAAAATTTGTAATCATTTAGTATAGGGTCATTGAAGATTCCACGTAAGTTTAATTCTTAGAAATTTAGCAAGCTTGGTATTACCTTTCTTTTGTTTCTTAAGACAGTGGTAAGTAATATAGCACCATTACTCTGGTCAGTTCTTCACAGACCACCATGAGTCTGTAATGTGCAGAAAGTACACTTTCACATGAGACAGAGTGTAGATGTGCTCAGTGACACTCAGAAACACACAACCCTCTGACTCCTGCTCCTTTCCAGCTTTGTTTCCTAGACACTACCAACAGTCCCATGCTTTGTTAAGGAGTTACAGGTGCCCCTGATGTTTAGCCCCAGTTTCTACCTCAGGAAAGATACCATTTCTAAATGTCCATTTCTAAAATACTTCACTTCACCTAGAGTAACATTCAGCCATTCAATCTATGAGCAATGAAGGCAAATATATAACGTTGCAATTATTATAATGTACTTTCCCTTATAGGCTATTTCAGAGCAGTTCGCCAGGAACCTGTCCAATTTGGAGAAATCGGTGGTCACACCCAAATCAACTACGTTCAGTGGTATGAATGTGGGACCACAATTCCTGGAAAATGGTAGACGCTGCAATCGTGTTCACAAGTGCCTTGTTTCAACGTGGCAAAAAAATAATTGCAAACACTATGGTATTTGTCACATTCATTTAAAGCTGTTCTGTTTACTATGTATAAAAGTTTAAAATCTAATTGATAGCAATATTAGATGTTTTTATTAGAAAAATTGCTGAGAATATTTATCAGGTTTTAAAAAGTCATTTTAATAAAGCAAGATATTAACAGAGTAACATTTTTCTGGGGAAGCTGGCTCCCTATTCATGGTATTTTAAGAGATTTTTTGTATATTATTTATCACAATGTTGTAATGTTTTGAGATACTTTTATAACAAAATTAACATCAAGAACTAATATACTTTTTTAAAAATGTTTACTTTTATTAATGTGTATTCTTCCTACTGGTGAGTTAATTCCATAAATCTCTCTTTGGTTTAACTTATTAGATCAGATTAACTTCAGCATATATATCTGGGGGTAAAATTCACATGTTTATTTAAACTTCAGTTTTTTAGCAATAGCTGAATATCTTTTCTGAATGTTTAAATAAACATTCATGTGAATATACATTGCCTCAAATATTTTTAAATTATTAAAAAGGTTTAGTTTCAATAAGTAAATTTCATTTCAGCTAAAAATAGAATTGAGAATGACATATTGTTTCAAAAATACACACTTTTTCTTACTATACTCAATTATATATTACAATATCTGAATATACTTGGTCAAACTATTCCTTTAAGCAACTGTCTTTGTACTGTTTTTAATATAATTCTAAACAAGTTGTATGAAGAAACTGAATGTGAAGTCTGAGCTCAAAAAGATAACAGATGAGATCGCTACCATTTTACAGGATATTTACTACATTTTTACACATAAGACTTCTAGGAATGAATGTATCAGAAGATGTTTTCAGTCTAACTTAACCTGTACTGACTCAGACTCACTTTTATTTAAAAAGGTATTTTCCTCATTTGGAGAGGGAGGTGGGGATGCTGCATTGTTGGCCTCATTCTGAGAGGATCCTTTCAACATGCTTCAATTTTATCAATGCTACATTCTGTACTTTTCAAACAAGTAGAAACTGCAATAAAGAAATGTAGTGTTTTTTTAAGGCTGAGTTCTTTATTTTTGAATAGTTCATCTCTATAAGGAAAATTACATTTATTCAGGATCTACCAAAATCCCCTTGTATCTTATAATACTGTATCTGTTGTGTTTATGTATTATGCTAATTTTTTAAAATTTTTTATTACAAAGGGTATTACATATGTGTCCATTTTTTCCTCCCGCCCAAGACAGTCCCCTAGCCTCCCCTATCCCCCAGTGTCTTATGTCCATTGGTTATGCTTATATGCATGCATACAAGTGTGACATCAATTTTAAAGTTTCACTGTTTTAAGCCAATAGTTGTTAAATGCATTTCTTTCAAGTCAGGACAAAAATCAGTTTCTCTGAATAGAAACTGTTCTAAGTTAAACCACCTATACTTTATTTACAAAACATTAGTAAGGATTTGTTTCTCACCTTTTTCTCATGAATATATAATTTTAGTGATTAAATTAAACAAGACCGTTAATTGATTCAATCATCTTTATTAACCTATCAATGTTACATTTTATACATAATATCTAGTTGTCTTTTCAAAGAGATCTATTTTTAGTACATCATGTTAATAGTACAAAGCCAAATAAGATGGCTGAATTTCAACCTAGCATTTTAATAACCTCTGGACAAGGCAAGCTAGAAAGTCGATCACTTTACACACATAAGAGTAGTGTTCCAAAATTACTAGGAAGCTGCTACACTTTTAAGCAGGGGAGGAAAAAACTTTCATTTTGGTCTTTTTTTGTGTTCTAGCAAGTTATACTCTCAATTAACAGCAACAATGATATCATAAAAAATGCTCTGCTTTTTAAATTTCTGAACTTCAATACAAATTAAAATAAAATAATAGTATTGGAGTCTTTTGGGAGGCAAACAGCTACCAGCTACACTTCATCAATGTAACTGAGCTGCTTTATCGATAACCAGGTCCAGGTTGAGTATAGCCCTGACCAAAGGGAGGACGGTTACGTGCATAAGGGTTAGGCCCACTTGGAGGAGGGGTTATGGTACTTGCAGACTGAGTAAAACCTGGTCTTGGTTGATAGGCCCCGGCTTGGCTTGGAGCCATCCCAGGCTGTGAGGCAGGGGCCACAGTATAATTAGTAGGCTGAGAAGTTTGGGTAGCGTAAGTATGTGGAGGGTAATTGCTCGCCTGGTACTGCTGTGGCTGTTGAGCAGGCAGTTGTTGAGGCTGACCAGAAAAGGCAGCAGCTTGTGCTTGGGAAGTTGCTTGCTGGCCATATCCCTGGAACTGCTGAGGTTGCTGGGGTCCAGTCTGCTGACTATAGCCTGCTGAAAAGGCAAAATAAATAATGTATATACTATATTTTTCTGTTGATAAAAATTTTCCAGAGAAATAGCCTTTACTGTTATGGACCAAAAATGATGAGAAATTTAACAAACTTAATCCTAAGTATTTATATAACAAGTAAGGTAGTAGATTCTACCATGTAATCTTATTTCCAGACTAAATGACATCAAAAATTTTCTAAAAATTTTTTAAACCCACTCATCTTAAATTGAAACCTGTATACATATATTTCTTCACTACCAACTGCTTCTACACTATATAATCCCTGAATGCATAAATCTTAGTAAAGAGTAAATGCTCAAATGATAAAGCGCAGAATTAATGTAAAAACTAGTCATTAGTCTGGTTTTGAGGGAAGGCCTATTTAACAACAGTGCCAAATAAAAATACATTAGAGAATTAATACTTTTAAATGAAACAATGGTGCTACAAATAGATCTAATTGTGATGCTTTAACAGTTTAGTTAGTCACTCTATAAAAACTAAGCCATTTAAGAATAAACATTAAGTACCCATCTTCACAACCTTTAATATTTTCACTTTTTTAAGATTTGGTATCTGATTTTTTTTTTTTGCCTTTACAACTCAATATTATGATTTAGCAGTAATAACATAACACACAAAAAGCATACCATATTGCCCCACAAAAGCAAAATCTATATTCATTATTTACTAAGGATATAAATTATTTTAAAAGAAAAAGTCTGCTTCACTAAAAACTTTTATCTCTACCATGAAACACACCTGCAGCTACTTGCAATGAAACCTCTCCATTGACTGGAATCCTGTCAGCATTAAATACCAGATACATAAGAAAATTATTAAAATATGTACAACCCCGCATTTGAAAAAAAAGGATTGAATGAATTTGTGTATATTCTGAACTCACCTTGAACCTGGGTTCAAAATTTACTCATGAAAGAAACCTTTTTGACATAGTCCATGAATAAAACTGGAAAAAGGTCAGAGGGAAACTGGCAAACCAACAGTGTCAAAAATGGTCCAATGCTACCACCACCACTTAGTCTCCAAGCAGAGTATTCAGTTGACTATTCCCATATCTCCCAATCGAATTCAAATTAATAGTGGGATCAGAAATACAAAGACAATTTCAAAAAAGCTAAATTTTACTCAGAGTGGAGACCCTGACTAAAATCATTAATAGCAAGCTTAACTTTTAATAACTAAATCAAATATCTAATGCATTTTACTTATATTTTCTAAATACTGAACTAAAGTCAATTCATGTTCAAATCTTGAACGTCATACAGTTTCTCCTATCTTCTACATAAAACTTTTTAGCTTATTTTTTTACTATAAGATTATAAAGAAACAGACGGACTCAGCTTTTATACTGAAAAGGTCTGTTTAACTTAAGACTGAACAAAAAAACAAAACAAAAATTAAAACAAACAAATAAAAAAAAACCTGCCTTTTCATCCTGGCAAAAACGAACAACAAAATCTAAACTGGCTTTTTCACTAAGGAGTCTGGAAACAACTAGATCCTTAATTTTCTCTTAAGAGAGAGACTGACCCCTAAGGGCCTAAGATGCCATTTTCATTAGCAAACTAGCAGAGTCTTTGACTACGATGTGGCAATACTTCCAAATTATATGTATAGTTTCCCTCAAACCACCATCCCCTCCCTTAAAAAATGACTAACTTTGGTGAAGAAGCCAGAAATCATAAGAAATGAAAATTCTGTTTTGAACAAAGGAATAGTGGGGTCGTATGGTCCACAAAGTCTAAAATATTTACTATCTAGCCTTGTATGACAGAAAAGTCTGCCAACCCCTAGCTTGGTTTGAGAATGCAGAATGATACAGGGAAGTAATTAACTGGAAAGTCAAGTGCACTGGGTTCTTATCTAGCAACCCCACTGAATGGCTGTATGTGTTTCAATGCACCACAACCACTCCCAACCCTAGTTGCCTCATTTATAACATGGGTGGATGGGACAAAATCAGTGGTCCCAACCTTGCTGACTTTAGAATGACCTGCAATACTTTCAAAATATCAAAACCTGAGTCCCACAAACTAAATGAAACAAAATCTCTGGGAGGAGGGCCCGGGTACCTGTAATTTTCAAGAAAAGTTCTCCGGGTGCTTCTAAAACTTTGAGATTTCTACAAATTACATAATTTGTAACATTTTGATTTTTCTTTAATTTTAAGGATTTGCATCCTAAAAATAACCTTCCCTCAAATATCATAATCCAAATTTAAATTCATTCCACCTATTTTATACTAGTGGCCCGGTGCATGAAATTCATGCACTCGGAAGGGGTCCCCTAGCCTGGCCTGTGCCCTCTCACAGTGCGGGAGCCCCATGATCAATCGCCCCAAAGAGGTAGGCCCCCCACCCATCCGGGGCTCCTCGATGGCCCACTCCATCCATGCTTTTGTTCCGGCCCTCCGGTCCAGTTTAAGAACCCATTGTGGCCCTCGAGTCAAAGTTTGCCCACCCCTGTCCTACTGCTCACCTGCCTGCCTGACTGCCCTAACTGCTCTGCCTGCTGGCCTTCTCGCCCCTAACTGCCCCTCCCCCCAACAGCCTGATCATCCCCAACTGCCCTCCCCTCCTGATCACCCTTAACCACCTCTGCCTCAGCCCCACCACCATGGCTTGTCCAGAAGGTCTCCTGGTCTAATTAGCATATTACCCTTTTATTAGTATAGATAATTAAAAACTAGCAGCTACAGGTTAAATCACTATACTGCAAATTTAATCCAAATAAAAATTACTGTGTTAAGATATATCAAACTGCAATTAATGATACAATTTTGTAGTCTAGTTCAGGGACAGGCAAGTTTTTTCTATAAAGGCCTAGAGAGTAAATATTCTACATCTTATGGGCCTACTAGAGGCCTAGTGCACAAATTTGTGCACCAGTGGGGTCCCTTGGCCTGGCCTGTGGGATTGAGCCAAAACCAGCTCTCTGACATCCCCCAAGGGGTCCCAAATTGCAAGAGGGTACAGGCCAGGTCAAAGGAACCCACTAGTGCACGATCAAGGTCGGGGAGAGACATGAGGTTGGCCAGCCGGAGATGGACCACAGGAGGGCTCCAGGGCATGTCCGGCCCATCTTGCTCAGTCCCGATCAGCCGGACCCCAGCAGCAAGCTAACCTACCATCTGCCCCCTGGTGGTCAGTACACGTCATTGCGAGCGGTTGAGTGGCCTTAGCATATCATTAGCATATTACACTTTGATTGGTTGAATGGACAACCAGACAACCAGGCACTTAGCATATTATGCTTTTATTATATAGGATGATCTCTGTTGCAATTGCTCAATTCTGCCATTGTAATGCCAAAGCACCAATAGACAGTACAAAAATGAATGAGTGCAGATGTGTTCCAATAAAACTTTATTCACAAAAATAGGCAGCAAGCCATATTTGGCCTGTGGGTTATAGTTTGCTGACTCCTACTCTAGTTTTTACTACAAAACTCCATAAAATAGAAATTAGGCAAGATTCAGATAAACTGACTGTAGCTGAAATTTGACACTTAAATGTTTCATTGTAAAACAAACAGTTGAACATGAACTCTCTAGCAAATGTAAAAATTACCTGAATTGTTATAATCACTATGTTCAAACTATACTAAAGTGATTTATCATATTTAAGTATGGATAATCTTCAATGGTCAGATGATAAAATCTCCAGGATGTCTATTCAAAACAACTATAT